TCATCATCATCATCATCATCATCGTCATCATCATCATCATCAACATCATCATCATCATCATCGTACAGCGAGATACAGTGAAGCGAACTTCACTGTTCACTGCCAAGGTATCGCTACTAAGGAATTAAATAAAAGGAGCCTAATGTTTCAAAAATCAAAACGTCCTAGTCCCTTCACGAATGCCGTCAAACAAGCCGGACTGATTCCCTACGAATTTGATACAAGTTGTTAGGTAACACCGATTTTCTTAAGATCGCTTACCTGAAAGGATCTGATGAGGGGGAGAACAAACATGTTTTTGCAATGCGTACGATTTTATGGACAGTTCCGCATTTGGTTATGACAATTTCTAGTTTTTTTTGGTAAACTGTGAGTTGAAAATATATGGAATGATTTGCTAATTTCAGTCGAACGGCGTTGTTCATTGTTCAGCCAATTGTCTTCTGTTCACAATTTTGTTTTCATTTAAATTGACTGCAACTGGAGTTTCTTTTACAAACACATTCATTTTGCAATGAAATTGCTTAGCCCACTCCCCGCACACCATTTCTCTTTATTTCAGCTGAAATCCCGGAAATTTTACGTTGAATAAAACAACAATGATTCGTTATAAAGAAATCGCATTGAAAGATCTAGTCCATAAAAAAAACAACCCTAAAGCAAAACGGAAATAATATTTTGTTTCATCAAATCTCATGAACCAATCTTATTACTGTATACTGTGGTCACATCTGCGACAGGTTTATCACGTGACTAATTGGACCAATTGAATTGACTCCCCAATGCTGTCTGAATCAAGCGCCCATCTGGCCATCGGTAGTTGGACACATATTCTGACTTATCTGCTGGCTGAGGACCCGTATCGAGTTGTTTACTCCAACCAGGCAGTACAATCTCCGTACGCGGATTAATCTGATAACCGGGTTGGCATTGGCATAACCCACCATGATTGTCCAACACTTCACTGACCGGGACTGGATGAGCAGGATACCGTTCCTTTGTTTCAGAAATCCCCGGATAGTGTATCATGATTCCGGCCCGTTCCTACGTGTTTTAAATATGAAACAAATTGTGTGTGAGAGAGAGACAATACTATAGAAATACTCTGCATAAATTGTTCATTTTTCTCTAATTATCGCATCATGTGATACAAGGGTATCAATGTTATACAACGCTAACTTTTTTGTGTGAGAAGTGATGTAAAAATTGGATAAAGGTATGCACTCTCAAAACCGAAACACATGCTACTGGACTACTTGTTTTTCATGGTAGTGAATGATAATTGTTCATTGCTTTTGGTTGATTTTGGCCCACATTCTCATTGGCAAGTGGATTGCCAATCCAATCAGTGAGATGGTTTGATATTTTTCTAGAGTTCTCAAATATTCACAAGTAATATGGTCACATATAAGAAAAATATGGATGGATCAAGAGATCGAATATAGAAATGATTAGACCGGTCTTTTATTATTTGCTCACTTACTCTCTCTCTCTCTTTCACTCTCTCTCTCTCTCTCAAACCTCATTCAACTCTCTTAACTCTTTTTCTGGCACGATATCTCTGATGACTGGAGTGAGAAAGCCGTCTTTCCGGTGCTTTATGCTCATGATGTAACTGTTCATTCACTTCCAACACACACACACACACACATCTGTGGTATCTCGCTGTGACCTACACAGCACGATTGTCTCTCCTCTCCCCCCGCCCCGTCCCCAGTTCTCTTAGCTCGGAGTCTATTATTCGCACCCAAACCACACCCTCTCAGGAGCACTCACTGTTTGCGAACAAGTCACAAACAGTGTCTGGTCATCCAAAAGGTAAAATTCATATTTGTGCCTTGCTGACCCGTAAACCTGATCTATCTGGTAAACACGTATTCGGATCTTATGAGAAGCGGACTCTTAACTGTTTCCCTCCCAATTTTGTTCCATCACTGACAAATCATGCACTTTCGTTTCCAAACCACCTAACATGTGGGGAGTTCCTGTTTTCGCTCCTAGTTTGCCCCGTGCTCCATCACCCTCTGTGTCTGTATCCTTCATTTCAGCTGCGATGTTTACCGTCATGCAATTGTCTTGGACGCTATCTTTCGACTAACAATCAAGAAAAGAGTGAGAGGAAAAACCAAGACTTCCTGCCCGTTTTTAGATTCAACCGTAGAGATCATATCGTCCTCATGCAGTAACTGTCTCAAATTTCAAACTAACTGGGAGGTGATAAGGAGATAATTGCGCATTCTGGGAAGCTTCATTACCCTACCGGATGAATATCAGATAGTATGAACACACATACACAAGGTTTGGTTGGATTTTACCCACTTGAGACATCTTGGCACTGACTTGCTTGCTTGAATTCGATAGATTGTGGTGAGTATGGCATGGATATACCATGGCACCTGATGGGTTTCCTCCGCGTGCGAAGTTTGTCGAAATAGTTCTGAAAAGGGAGCAGACTAAAACTTGACCCAAGGACTTGGTCATGCTTTTGTTGCATTAGGCTCCATGGTGAATGAACCGGAGGTTAGGCTAGATCATAATTAGAGGCATTAAAGGAAATAGTTGTTTTGCCAACATCAGAACCCGTGAATCTAATCACTTTTAACGCAGATCTAGTTCGCCTATATTCCATATGTTTTAGTTGTATTTCGTTCAGATTTTTATGTATTTTCCCGATTCCTTTATCCTTTGCGGACCAAGCAACTAGCGACAAGACATCACTCGAAACCGTGCAGAAAAAAACAGGCCAATGGTTCTGCAGACTGATATTGAAAACTGATTCTCCCTGATTGATACGTATTTCCGGCTTTAGTTCATCTCGCCTAATTACCCCTTTCTTACAATTTTGATTTAAAAAAAAACAAGAATTGATAACCTGGTTTTGACAGGGGAGTTTCTCATCACTCCGTTCTTGTTTTCCACCTACATCAGTGATCTGTCCGCGAGTTCTCCAGCCCAATTATTTAAAAATGCTGATGACGTAACCCTCTGCCAAGCCATTTCTGTCCCTGAGGACCTTTTACATTTCTCGAATAATCTATCGCATATTCATAAATTTTCCGTTCGTCCTGGTCTGTCTCTAAATTAATCCAAGTGCCTCGAATGTAGTTTCGCCCTCTCTAGATCTGTTTACCCTCGTGATCCGTCTGTCATAAACACAGATCCCCTAACTAGAGTTGATTCTGTGAAGTATCCAAGAGTTACCATTGACACTAACTTAAAGTGGACATCCCATATTTACAACTCTGTACAGAAACTTCACAGATTATCTGTTCAACTTCGAAGACTTAGGCAGTTCAATGACAAGCCAAAATCATTTCACTTTTCGTTTATCAATGTGTTTTTCCCGTTCTTCTTTATTGTTCCCCAGTGGTTTTTGCTGATCTTCTAAAGAAAGACTTCAAAATTCTTCGTTGAGGTTTGTCCATCATCAGTAGTGTGTCTTTTACACCCGTTGATGAGCTATCTAAAAAAACTGTAAATTTCACTTGTCCGCATGTGAAACGTTTGCTCAGAAAATCCTGTCGGACCCCAACCATCCTTTACATGGCAATTTATCTGAATGCTGCTCTCATATGTCTACACGTTCTTCTTATCGATTATTATCCTCTCGCAATAATCTCTACAGAAATTCCCCAGTTCCCTATTTTACCAGAATCCTTCTAAACCGTGAGCGCGCTTCTACAGAATTTCTCAGCACCCTTGGAGGTTAAATATTTTACTTGTATTTTTCTTCTATTGATGAGATGTGTAATTTTTGACTGAAATGCGAACATTCTGTTCTCGCAAAAGTCTATGCAAATACAAATATAAAGCTCCTCTCTTTGAAATTCAAGTTTGTTGTAGAATGTGAGAATACTCTTTTTTTCAATTTAGTCACTTGTCTCTGGGTGAAATCGAGACAACTCTTCTGTTTATTCTTGTGTTGAACTTGGCACAGCTAGTATTGTAGTTATACATTTTAGAATCGAATGGCCAGAATATTTCTGCCCCTTGGAAGTGCCAAACAGTCACTGTGACCCGTCGTGGATTTATCGCTTGCATCTCTCGACAACGATATTCTGTGCGGTCTGCAGCTTCAAATTATTTTCTCTTTTATCGAGTGAACCAAAGCATTTAACCTCCGTGGTCAATAAGTAAGGGGGTTGGAAATAGCACCTGGGAATTGCAAAAATGACGAAAAAACCAAGGTTTTGTAATATGGGTAAAAAATAATTTAGAAAATGAAACATGGTGGTTATCAAGCTAATTTTTGGTATAGTGGCACAGATAAATACACGCATGACCTGAATTTCGATGCGACCGTGAATCCCGTAGTGTAATCAAAACATTGAACGATTACAGCGAGAATTTTCACCTGCTTTTGACCCCATCCACACAACTACACATTCGCCCATCAAGCTTTAACCAATCCTTTAGCCAAAACCCGAAATGCATTAGCCAAGATCCTTAGTCCTTTAGCCTTTACGCACAAAATTTGGCCACACCGCAGTATGCGAGTCAGATCAAAAAGTATCGGAATATTCTGAAGGCAACAGAAATTGAAAATAAATGGTTTTCTACAAATTTTGATGCTACAAAGCTTGGTTAAGAAGTAAGACGATGTGAGGGTTGTATGCTGCAGCACATGTTGATTGGAGAAGGTTTAAACGATGTACCCGTATCTTCAAATCATTGGACATATCTCGTACAGCTTCAGTGTTTCTGTATAACATGCGATACTCCTAAGAGTACGCATTTCAAGTGCAACTCAAACGACACATTGTTTTGCATTCACGAGTGAACTCTGATTATCATAAGGGGATGATAAACAGTTTGTAAAAGTATACTCTTATAACTATCACCAGTTTATTAACGCTGCAACATATGTCATAATTACCATGGTTGTGGCTTGAGTATTACGGGTTTTGTCTATAGTTTCTTGGGAAACGGTGTTCTAAAGGGGGTCTTTCGTGAACAATCTTTACTATCCTCAACCTGCTAACGTATCCATATCTCAAGAACAGAGTTCACTTTAGATAGGTATACGAAACGGTTAGCAAATACTTTACGAGTTATTTCAGGACTTGTGAGTGCAAAACAACGTACCGCTTTTCAACATCAATATTTGTAGAAAACCACTTCTTTTCTTTCTAAAGGAGTACGGATCTTGGTTAATGCATTTCGGGTTTTGGCTAAGGGAATGTGGATTTTGGCTAAAGGATTAGGGGTCGAGGCTAGGGGATTGGCTAAAGCTTGATGGGAAAACGTGTAGCTGACCAGGTAAAAGCTTATCTAAATGTGCGTTATAGGATGCATGATACATAACAGAACAGCACGTCTTCCAAAACTACACCACTGGTGACTCAGTTCCACCGAGGTCGTACTGTGAACTCAGCATTTCCCTCGTTGACTGCGAGCAGCAAGACGTTCCACAAAATGTTCCGTTTTAAGAGAAGCATAGTACGCTTGACTTGTTATTGCAGTTTCGGGTCTCATTATTCCTTTTGATCGGCAAGCATCAAGTTGTGAAGCAACTGAAACTAGCACCAGATCGAAAAGTGGAACGGGACAAATCGCTAAACCCATGGGTAGGTAGCATAACAAATGTCTTCTCCAGGGCTTGTCTATAACAAGTCCATGCGTTTGTGAGTTGCATCATTAAGCACATGTGCCCAGAACCGCTAAGGTCCATCGTTGAGAAGAGCCTCGAGTGCTGACCATTTCAACGTATCATCCCTTATGTCAAGTCCAGAATTATTTTGTTGTATATCGAAATGTCCTGATTGTTTCCTTTGCGACAAGTTTTCGTTAAAGGGTGGAATGTAAGACAACTGCTTCAAGTTTTTGCTTTAAAAAAGCAGTTGTTTTTGTAACAATCGCGGCAGAACGTTATAATGAACACTTTATGAAACGTTCCTTTCAAGTTTACCGGAATGCCTGTGCAAAGTTATTTCGTACGATACCCACAGCAGTCATTCCTGGTTCGTTTATTGCGTTTGCTAACGTCGAGCTCGTGAAAAGTCATTTCCTTTTTGAGTCCGTCCTGCGATAAACGTATCACTATAGTGAGATGTTATTTACCCGGCTAGTATGGGCAAGTGCGTGACCAGAAACGATCTGCTATTTAATGCTGTTCCTCGACCGCAAAGAAGAAATGAAGCGGGTAAATCTTCTTTGGTGTTTGTTGCGTGAGGTTAAAAATCTATCTCATTTCACCACATCAATCCCACTCCTTTCATTTCTTCCGGACATCTCTTTAAAATAAAAACCGAAAATGGTGTGCTTTATTTCAAGATAGCAATTTCAAGGCGGTCTAGCCCGGACTAACTGAAATTGCAGTCAATCAATTCGCAGTAAGTCTGGTGAGTAACCACATCTATAGGATCTTCTTCCACACTGCAACCCATAACAACTACTCAGCGCCATGAGAGTAGTAGTGTGAACCCGTCCTGTTCGGAACGGTCTTTCACAGCATGCAGACACTTTTTTTCGTTGATGAAAGGTGTCAAGGCGTTAATGTGCAATCAGTCTGCCTCAATTATTTTGGATTGACACCAGAGAAGATTGTGACACGGTTCAAACCAGAAGGTAGTTCCACAAACAAAGCTGGTTGGTCATTTTCAGCTACACTGTCAATATGCGAATTAGTCAGTGAACACTTACTTCCTTTTGTTTCATTCTACTGTTAGTCAAAAAGGTGACTGTGGCTCATCAGCCGCAACATGAATCGCATAGGTGCAATCTTTTTGGCGGCGTCCAAGATATTATTGTACCGAGCAACGTTTCCACACAAGGGTAAGGTGAATCACAAATCGGCGAGAAGAGAGCTCCGAAATCTAAATAAGGAGCAATATACACACGCCCAAAGAATTGTCCCAGTAATAGTAGTTGTTAAGGCGAGCTACAGTTCAGGCATTACCGGTTGTGGTTGCTAAGGTTTTGAGAAAATATGATGGTCCTGTCATCAACGCACATTCCTCCTGTGTATAGTTCGAGTGATGCAATTCTATTTAGTGAATTCCGTCATAGTGTGAGTCCAATCAGTCACAGAAGTCATGATTTATGTCGGGGGAACTAATTTGGATCACCGATGGACATGTGAAGTGTATCCATCGGTTGCAGACAGCAAAATGACAACAAAACAATAACAAAATTCATGGAGTTCAAAAGTGACTCTGACTGACAGCTAAACAACCAAGGTGCTCTTAGATCAAATACTACGAAAGTGACGCATCGAATTTTGGAAAAAAAAAACGAATTCCCTTAACTAAGGAAAGGTAATGAAGACTGGTAACTTTGGCGTTCACCTGGAGAATGATACAACAGGTACTCACTCAGAGAAACCGATACCAAATTGATTTCAGGGTTTTTAGATAGGTTACTTACTCCATCAAGTATTTCTTACAAGCTGACTGGTTATGACAGCAGAAATGTATTGTTTGATCTAATCTGTATGGAGCAATAGAATTAATAACCACCATCGGCTCCTAATGATCTTTGCTGATCATTTGGTTTAATTTATAATTTGACGCACAATTTCTCATAAGCAATACTGTCAATTAGTTTTAACGTTGAGACGTCATTTTCGAGCAGTAACTGAACCGCGTGAATTCCAAAAAGCATAAGACTCAAGTTTCTCCCCCAGCAAACCTCATCACAGGAATAAAGCTGCTGATTAGTGATTAGATATACACCACTAAGATGCTCTGACTCCAGTGAAACACGATACACACCTGTGGAGTTTCTGGCCATCTGCTCACCGACTTCTTTTCTTCTTTTCGGCCAGTTGTTGTTTTTGCCATATCAGCCTGATCCAGATTGAATCGTGGTGCTATAACGTGCTTGTGATCCGTGGGCATCTTTATGGGCCAATTCTTTTTTGTGAATAGACCAGAGATGGGGATGCGGAGCAAAAGTTAAAATAAAAATGTGTGAAAACTGAGCACAAGCTCTACTTTAACAGAATGTCAACTACCTTTCAAATAGGTGATCGGTATCACCCTATTCGTTCCTATCATCATTATTTTTATTATCATTATCATCGTCGTCATCATCATCATCCCTAAGGACTCTATAAGCCTGCTTCGTGCCCTAGCATTTGCCATTACACTGGTATGCAATCAGCTACTGTGAACCAATTGATGTACAAAGCATTTTCAATCATGGTGAATAGGGATCTTTCCGAAAAATATGTTCAGGCCACTTCACAAGCACTGATGATGTCACCTCGGCTGGTGCTGAAACGTTTGCAAACAAATTGCCAAGCTCGGAGAACAGGCGAAATGGAATGTTCATGCCCGTTGTTTGGAGGGGAAATTAGTCATTCGGGAATAATGCTGTTATGCTTTCAAAGTAATAAAAACTCACAATTACAATAGTCGCTTAAAAATTGTTCTTTTTCAACACTGTTCTGGTCGATGACAGGTTGCCGTAAATAGTGATGCGATGACTTAGACTTAAAAGCAAAAATAATCGATATTCAGGGAGCCGAGCTTGATACTACACACTTGAAGTGTGGTATTCCACGGTGCAGATAATTTTCATGATTAAACGATCGCTGTCTTCCATTGATTTTAAAAACAAACTATGAGGTTTGAAAGTTTTTTCTGGATCTTGAAATCATCCGCGTGCAAACCACGTAATGTGCAGTGAACTGCTCCACGAGAAAGTGGTCAGCACAGATATTTTGCTCAATGGACAAATCTGAACAAAATTTAGACGTGATAGGTTTCAGTGGTACTGGCCCTAGCTTAACAAATTGTTTGTATTTTGCCGATAGATCTTTCATGCGTAGAGCTTGTTACGACACAGCATTTTTCGAAAAAATCCCGCAGTTGAGCCCTGTTGAACCAAACACATCTAATAGGTTGACGTCTGTTCCTCGGAGGTTGGAGCAATTAAACAGTTTTTCAACCGACAACTAGGTGCAGAGAGCAAACCATTGTTTTCTACACCATTTATGTGCCTTTATCCTAACAGGATGCCAAGGTTTCATTTCGAATTGTCCCAACGTGGTCACCCCTCCAGTCCGTAAGCCGCAAGGTCACATGTTCATCGACAGGGGGAAGACTTTAGCAAGCGATGGCAAGATAAAGGACTAATTGGGATAAGGTATTGTAGTACTTATCTGACACTAAACAATTCTTGTCCATCGAAATTTACGTCAAGATGACGCAGATTTACACCATCTTAAATTGATTGAGATTTGCGAAGGTTAACCAGAATTAAAAACAAATGCTTGTCAACCATAACAACTCTCTACTGAATTAACAGTGGAAGAATCCTGTTAGAGCTACATGACACAGAAATAATTATGATACTTGAAACAGGTAACAAAAAAGGAGTGAATAGAACTCAGCCAGCATATAAATGATAATGGTTCACTAGACAAGAAGCCACTACTTCCACCTTACGTGTTCCTATGATAGCGCCTGAGA